GCCCCAACACAGCTGTGGTATACCGCACACACACACACACACACACACACACACACACACACACACACACACACACACATACACACACATACACACACACACACGCGACAGCATCGTCATCTCCCGGCAACAACATCCTCGCATCGCGGCATGCAGCATCGCCTTCAACTCAAACCGGCTTTTACCGGCGACACTCCTGAGCAGGAACGGCCCGAGGAGGAGGACGAAGAGGAAGCGAAGGGGGGCAGGGGGATCCGTCACCAGGGTCCGCATCCGAGCACGTGCGCAGGAGAAAGAGCAGAAAAAAAACCTCGTCCTCCTCCCCCTCCTTTTCCCAAAACAATAAAATGGCAGACTGCCTGAGATGATGCGCTGGCGCCTCCCACATTCATTGAAGGAGGAGGTGGGAAGCGAAGGGAGGGGGGGAGGAATGGGGGGAGCTTACCGGACACAGCTGATGATGCAGGGGGTTCAATGTGTGTGTCAGTGTGTTTTCTTTGAAAGGGATTTATTTCTCTTTTTCTCTTTTTCTCTTTCTCTCTCTCTCTCTCTCTCTCTCTCACACACACACACACACACACACACACACACACACACACACACACACACACACACACACACACACGCACACGCACTTAACCACGCCCGACCCCCACTTCTGCAGTTCGCCTCCGTACTGCAGTTGCATCGCACGAGGGGAAATTGGACAACGGCTTGTGCTCAACGAGCTGATACGCTGAGCCTCAGCGCCAATGGCGGGGAATATTTTCTTCAGAAACTACTTAGAAGTTCTACAGACTTTAATTTCTTGGTACTTTTCATTAATTACTAATAAATTTTCAGCCCCTTTCCATTGTACCAGTTTGACCCCAAAACAGCCTGGTTCCGACCTCTGTGGTCGCTTTTCCATTACACTTTTTCAGGACAGAGTGATTACAACGGAACCATTCCTCAGAACCCCTTCCAACCTGGTTCTAGAGCACAGGCCAAAGAAGAGGGCCGTAATATCGCTGTCAACTGATCGACTGACAGATGTAGGCGTTTCTTTTAGAGATGCGGCAGGTGACTTCACTGCACGTGCCCATTTACTGGTTTTAATCAAGCAGTACACATATATTGTATTTTACAAACATACTTAATCATATTTACAATTATATAATAATAATAATAAATGTATTTTGCACGCTTCGATCTTCCGCATGGAATGTCAAAGACTGTGTGCGCTGAATTGGAAGAGAATGGGTGGAGCCGATTTCATTGGTCAGGAAGTAAGTTGGCTGTGTTCACTCTCAAAAGAGCACAAACGCCCCTTTCTGACTTTGTCCGTCTCTGAAAATACAAAAAGAAAGAAAACTCCATGCACGCAGTTGTGCTGGAGTAAAGTCTTCCCTCGGAGGGCCGTTTACCGTGAAATCGTTTATTTATCTCACTGTGTTATTACTTGTACACAACATACTGAGAGATTACTAGTTTTGAAATCTGTTTGTTCAATCATTGTTCAAGTGAGTGTAAACAGGGTAACAAAATTATTGCAAAAGCTCAACGCTATTTATTACACATGACAAATTGACATTTCAGTACAGATTTTAGCAAGGATCATGGAAATTAACACACATGATTTGCTTTCGCGGACCACCTAAAATTATGTGGTGGGAGGGATAGGGCCCCTGGGACTTGAGTTTGCCACTTGTGATTTAGAGTGTTCCATTCATCTGCCATCCATGTTTTTGGAACATGTCAACTCCACATAGGAAGGCGGGAGCTGGAATCGAACCCTGCACCTCTGCACCGTGAGGCAGATGTGCTCATCAGTCGATTGTATGACTGGTGTGGTGCATTTGAGTCCATATTTTTGATCATTTAAAAACAGAGGACTTGAATTTGTATCTAATCTGCTAGCTTGGTCAATCATTAATAACATGTTTTGTGGATACACGTTTCGACAAGTTTGGAATTTTTACTGTGTGAACAAAGCAGACATTATTTTCAAACCCACTAATCAAATGGGAGCAGAGAAAGAAATGTTCAAAACAAATCAAGTCTGGTCTTTGACATACTCACCTCGTGACAGTCCTGGAGGAATCTCTGGAGAGCCCACTGGTGATTGAGTTTTTCCAACCACTGATGAGCCTGCTCGCGGTTCTGGTTGCCCCTGAACCCAACACATGAGCACGTCAATTCAACACACTTTCTGTCTCTCTAAAGTTTGCATCTTTCAGTAGAGACAATGTGAAATGTCCTCATACTGTAATATTACCCAAAAAAACAGATATATAGGATTTTGAAGAAAACCATACGCAGTATCTTCTTAAAATTCTGCGTATGTTATTTTAATGCATTAAAAATAACAAGTGCAGCATAAATGGGGGCAAGGTTATGATACATTTTAATTCACTGCAATCGAATAGCAAATATATACGGCACATTTACTGATATTGAGCGGATAGGCAAACCCCTCAGTTGACGACACACTCATCCCTGCCCCAACAACAGACACGAGTGCGCACACACACACACACACACACACACACACGCACACACACACACACACACACACA